ACACTTAAAATCTCTCTGGGTGATTTTCAAGAATATAATACATTGGAACTATAGCCACTATATTATATAATACATTCCTTGAGTTTATTCCTCCTTTCTAATGAAATTCTATACCCTTTAACCTGGGTCTTCTGGTTCCATATGAATTTTAGGGTTCTTTCCTCTAATTTTGTGAAGAATGCTTTGGTATTTTGAAATTGCTTTGTATCTGTATATCAGTTTGGGGAGTATGTTCATTTTGACAATGTTGACCTTCCCTGTCCAGGACAGTGACTCTTTTTCCATTTTACAATATCTTCTTTAATCTCCTTTTTCAGGGTACCATAGTTTTTATTGCAGAGATCTTTCACTTGCCTGGTTAGGTTAATTCCCAAATATTTAATTTTTATTGATGTGCCAAGAAAATAGCGTTATTTTTCTAATTTCTTTCTTGGTAAGTTTATTATTTGTGTGCACATATGCTATTAATTTTGTATCCTGCTGCATTACAGAAGTTTATTATCAATTCTAGTAGTCTTTAAGTAGATTTTTTTTAGTCTTCCATGTAGAAAATTATGTCATCTGTGATTAATGATAATTTAACTTCTTCTTTTCTTGTATGTATTATTTTTTATTTTGAGACAAAGAGTCAATAAGTTGCTACATTGTCTAGGTTAGGCTCAAACTTGTGATCTTTCTGCCTTTGTTTCCCAGAGTGCTGGAATTATAGACATGCACCACTTCAACACCCATCTTAAGCTTATTTTTCTGCGAAATAAAGAGACCCAGCCAAGTGTGGTGGTGCATGTCAGTAATCCCAGCATTCAGGAGGCTGAGACAGGAGCCTCCTGTAAGTTCAAGGACAACCTGGGCTACAAAGTGAGTTCAAGCCCAGCCTGAACTGCATACCAAAACCTTATCTCTGAAAGAGACTAAACAAATAAATAAATAGCTAAGGAAGCAACATTTATTAACCTCTTCAGCAAAACCATAACAATTCTCCCCAACAGAGATCAGCCATACGTTTTTAAAGGCTTGTCACAGTCACAAATAAAATGGTGAGGACTGAGAAGTGTAATGTACAGACCAAGCAACTGCATGATTCTCAGTTTACATCAAAGTTAGACATGAATAGCTCACAAATATTCAATTTAAAAGTAATGTAAAGCGTTCATTTTATAACTAAAAGATCCTTGTGTTCTTTTCATTGCACTAATCCCAGGAACCACACAATTGCCAAATAAAAATATTCAGCCACAACCAAATATCATATTGCTTATGTTATTATTAAATACGTAAAAAGGTAGGCAATGCAATTGTAACTTTCATAGCTTGTTGGTATAAACCTGCAATATATGTTACCAGCCCAGAGAACAAAAACCCAACTGAATGTTATTTTTAATTGAATTCTAGGAGGTTCTCAATGAATGGCTTATTCTAAAACTAAATATAGTATTCTTAGTATCAAACAAAAACTTGATTTCTTTTTTCTTAGATTAATCCCAGAGTAATTATGCGATCATTTGCCTCTGCAGTGAGTAAGAACTTGCTGCCACAACCCTGGAGGACAAGAAATGCTGTTATTTTTATAAACCTAAATATCAAGTCTGTTTCTAAGGCCCGCTTATCAAGATAGTGCAAGGTCAATCTCAGCTACATTTCAGGGCCCCTCTCTGACCACTGTTGAGGTAGGACCAGTAGAACCTTCCACAAGACCCACCAAGCCTTCCTGAGGTTGTTTGTCAGGGTGAGCCGTGAGCCTAGACTTCCAGGCAGCCAGGCCCAGATGCCCAGCCAGCCCAGAGAAGCACTGTCCACGGCTCCATTCCCACTTCCAGGCACAGGCTCTGCCTTGCTTCTGGGCTTCCAGCTACCACTCCTCTCCCAAGCAGGGCTTTGCTGCCGTGGAGTTCTGCCATGTAGGCCCAGGATGAAACACGAGTCTCCTGTCAATCTCACCTATCCTCCCCTCAGCCTCTCAGGTTGACCAAGAAGCTGTGGTGGAGAATAGCTTCAAGGAGTAGGGAAGAGAAAACACCATTAATTCACTCATTAACTGACAACACAGTTTCAATAAACATTCACTGACTCCAGAGAACCTCCTGTCTACCAGAAAAAAAAAAAAAAAAAAAAAAAAAACAGAGATACAACACTATTCACAACAGGGAGGAGAAAAGAAATGAATGTTTCAGTAAGTTAACTTTGCATATTGATTAAAATAAACACAGGTTAAGACTCCATAGGCAGGGGACCAGGGAGATGGCTCAGTAGAATAAGCACTTCTCTGGCAAGCACAAGGGCCTGACTTCAATCCCTGGTTCTGCAAAAAAAAAAAAAAAAAAAAGACTCTATAGGCAGGGTTGGCAAGATAGCTCAGTGAACTAAATGCCTGCTTAGGCAAGCGCAGGGACTAGGGTTCAAGCCTCAGCACCAAATGCCATGCGGGCCCCTCCCTCAGGTGCACTGAGCCAGCCACCAAGACCAGATGTGGCGGCACACACCTGTAATCCCAGCACTGCAGAGGCTGAGAAGAGGAGGCTCACTATGAGTCTCTCAGTAGTGAGACTCTGTACCAAATACATTTTTTTTAAAAAAAGTAAACACTGTATAGGCAGAAGTGTTCATCATCATAATATCATTATTATTTTCAGTTCACAATATTCTTTGCCTTCTTGGTTGACACCTGAGCTCACAGGAACCCCCCAAGGACACCTTTTCTGTGTTTTGCACCTTCCTTGAGGCCACACGAATAAGTACAAAGAGTGCAGTGGCTATTAACATGGTTCAGAGGATCCAGCACTATTATTTACTGTAACTTTGTGCCTTTGGTCAAGTTCATTAAGCTTTCTGTGCCTCAATGTCATCATCTTGTTGAAAGGACAAAACAAAGGAGAGTCTAATGTACGCGGAGCAGTATTTCTGTGTAGTGAGCACTGCTAGTACTACCTGGTTATACTAAAGGTGCCACCTGCACCAGGCCAGCGGAGAACAATGACAAGCAAGAGCTGCACAGGCAGTGACTGCTGTGTGGAGAGCAAAGCTTGGCTGTGGGTCAATGATTTCCAGACCTGACCACTTTTCAGAATCACCAGAGGACTTTTTCAAAGGCCTAAGGCCCAGAGCCCAAGTGCAAGATTCTTACTTAGTGGATTAGAAGTGAGGACCAGCCTTGTTCAAGGAACTCCCATGGAAGCCAGGGTTGAGCACCCCAGCTCAAGAGCAATCTAATGTGTGAGCCAAGTAGCCCCCCATGGACCCCACAGTGAACAGAATTCACCCCACAAGTGGCTGTCCTCCTGCTGCACAAGGCCCAGCTGGCTCAGCAGGGTCACCTGCCTCCTGCAGCTCTGGCACCTGTGAGAAACGCACCACCCGTGAGGATGTCAGATTCTGGGCCACATATGAAGAGCACAGAATTAGCAAACAAAACCCCTGGCTTCACTGGTGTGCAGTGGACCTATAAGTGCTGAATATTAAAATGGCCTGAGACATGTTCTAGAGTGAAAATGCTTTATGACTTTATCTCAAGTACATTATTCTGTCTTTGGTGCATAAATAGGAAGAGGACTACCAAAAAATTACCTAAATGTATAAGTTTTAATTTCTATGACATTTGCCTAAAGAACATATTTATTTTTGTAAAATTAAAAAATACTAGTAATTTTTTAAAATTATAGCAGACTGATTAAAGATCTAAACATTAAAGCAGAGACACTAAATCTCCTGGAAAAGAAAGTAGGAGGAACTCTTGAAGACATAGGGGTAGGCAAAGAGTTCATGGACAGAAATCAAATCACACGGGTAACAGTTGAAAGACTTAACAACTAGGATCTGCTCTTACTGAGAAGTTTTTTCACATCAAAAGAAATTACCAACAAAGTGAAAAGGCAACTCACGAATTTGGAAAAAATTATGACAAATAAGTACTCAGACAAAGTTCTGCTCTCTAGAATCTATAAAGAACTAAAAAACACTAGGGCCCCAAAATTTAAAGATCCAATCCAGAAATGGGCATCCTAGATAAACACACACTTCTCAGAGGAAGAAATTAAAGAAGCGAATAAATATATGAAAAAATGCTCCACATCACTTAGCCATTCGTGAAATGCAAATTAAAACCACATTGAGATATCATCTCACCGAGAAAGAATGGCTATCATAAAGAAATAATCCAACAACAAATGTTGGAGAGGCTGTGGGGAAAAAGGAACCCTTCTCCACTGCTGGTGGGAATGTAGACTGGTGCAACCGTTATGGAAATCAGGATGGAGAATCCTTAGAAAAGTTGGTCTGGAAAGCCCCTTTAAAGCAGCTATTCCTCAACTGGGAATTTTCCCGGAGGATATGAAAACATCATCTCATGATGATATATGTGTGCCTATGTTTACAGCAGCACAATTTGTGATAGCCAAATCTTGGAAACAACCAAGATGCTCATCACCTGAGGAATGGTTGAGAAAGATGTGGTATTTTTACACAATGGAATATTATTCAGC